AGGATGCATATCCAAGGTCCTTCTTCTTCACATCACCTTTTCACTTTAACTCCGGCTCCCCAGAATTTACACGAATCCGGCGGCGACGGTGGTAATGACCATCCTCACTCTCCAGGGGCTAATACGATGCATGACACCCCATATATATGGTTCCCAACTTCCCAACTTCCCATGCATTATCCATCACCAAATATGGATCCTAATTCTGCAGGTGGTGGTGGAGGTGCTTACCACCGTGGGAGTAACATCCCAAAATTTAAGACCAAAAATTTCATTTTTAATTTAATAATTATAAAACCAATTATCTGAAAACATCATAGAAACAACTCATATCCAAAACCAATGTATCAATAATCAAATCATGTCATGATAAAACGACATCAGAGTATAACTCCCAAGAATCTCATGTGCGGAAAATGTAGTGTGATGCGCTGCGATCATGCCGGCTCCTTTCCCTTCGAAGAGGAAGTACCTAAAACCAAAACTGTAAAACGTAAGCACAAAGCTTAGTGAGTTCCCCTATCATACCACATACCATACAATACACATACGGCCTAGCATATCTGGGTGCTGGTCTACCCCTTCGGTCTCTTTCAACCGGTAACTGCCTAGCATATCAGGGTGCTGGCCTACCCCTTCGGTCCTTTCGACCGGTAACTGTCTAGCATATCAGGGTGCTGGCCTATCCCTTCGGTCCTTTCGACCGGTACCAGGGACTATTCCACCCTTACCACTACCATATATCATTCTAATACATAATGCAAAAATCACATACTGCCTAGCATATCAGGGTGTTGGCCTACCCCTTCGGTCCTTTCGACCGGTAACGGGGTCTATCCCACCCCTCCTACCAATATCACACAATATCATAGCATACTAGCACATAAAGCATAACAGATCATGACATACCAGACAATTATCACAAAGACAATCATCTCTACTATATTCACCTATTAGTGGGTCGGTATTGGTGCCTTAGACCCACTTCTACTGGAAGGTAACTCACCTCGCAAAGCCCGGTGTCGAATCTCACGGTAAGAAATCCCCAACGGCTGCTCCAACGACTCCCCGACTATCATTATCATAACAACACTTAGTCAAAATACATAATATTTCTTAGGGTAAAATGACCATTTTACCCCTTGGTCAAATTTGGACAATATCCAAAGCCCAATTCCATCTTATCTTTCCAAGCCCCCGAATGACCCATTAAAGGCCCACTAATGGCCCAATTTTCTAAAATGGACCCAACTCCTCAAATGTGCCTTATCACAAGCCCAATAACTCCTTAGCCAAAAATAAATAATTTCAAATGGCCCAAGAGGCCCAATACTTTAAATCTCAGTTCTAGGCCCAGAGACTCCACTCCACAGTGGGCAAGGAGGCCCAACCATCCAGGCCCGAACTTCTAAGGCCTAAAAACCCAAGTTCGCCACTCTGCATGTGTACGCGTGACGTACCTGGCACGTACGCCCAACGTACGCTAGCCTTGACCAAAAGCGGGAAGTTGACCCAGTACGCGCATCGTACCAGGGTGTACGTGCAGCGTACCGGCCAGCTTCCTTGGGGCTCCATTTGTGACTTAATCCATTAAGTCCTCATGTCTAGAACGTAGATCCACGTCCTTTAAGACATCATAATCCATAAAGTCACAAACTCTATGTGCTTGCATGCATGGATGGGGGTCAAAACATGATTTTAGTCCTTAAACAAACTTTGTGACCATCAAACATTTGCATGGTTGTGGCTTAGCCATCAAGGTCCGATTTTTATGACATTAAGTGCTTCCAAGAGCTCAAAAGGACGGCTCTTATGGTCTGAAACTATCAAGATACAAGAAACCCCAACAATGGAGTCAAAATAACCCATAAAACACCCCAACTTTATAACTAAGCATGCAATGATCAGGTTTGAAGCTTGAAACCTCAAATGAGTCAGAAATGGTGCTAATCCCCTGGATCTACAAGTTCCCTTTGAATCCTTGCTCCTTCTTCAAGCTTCTTTCTCTTCCAAAACACCAAAACAACACAAAAATGCTCTCAAATGGCTACCAAATCACAAGAACACACAAATATGGGTTAGGGTTTTCGTGGTGGCTGTCTAAGGGTGAGAGGGAGGCTAGAATAAGGGCGTAAGGTTCTTTATATAGGGATCAAACCCTAAATTTTAGGGTTTTGGAGTCTGCATACGTACGTTGCGCGTACCCTTTGGTACGTTGGGCGTATGTGCATCGCTCCTTCATCTCATGAGTATGTTGAGTGTACATGGCATAGTACGCCTCACGCACAACACTTCTCAGTCCAATTACAAGGATCCAATGGTTCAAGCCCAAACCAATTCAATTCATTAGTCTTATAATAGTATAATTAATACCTTATAAATCCTGGATGTTACAGTGGGTTTGAGCCCCAGTCGTATCCATATAACTTGACATCGCAATAGAGAGATTGGCCAACCTATCAGCATCGTATGACTTCTCAGAAAAACGAAGCTAAAATGGATCTTCAATTCAAGAAACTCAGGTTTTGAAATTAGAATTGGTTTAAGGGATGTACTTTAGCTTAAACACAATATTTTTTTGTTCTAATTCCGAAGAACCAAAGCTTCAAAAATGAATCATACATAAAGACGAACATCATAATGCAAAATTACCTAAATCATATAAGAATATGAAATAATCAAAGCAACAGTAGCCTTAATGACGCGAAGAACGAAAATCCCAGATAAGTTTTGCTCACAAATTCATCTTGGCTTGAAGGAAGAAAAAAAGATTTATGGTTTGACCACAATCTTAGAAGTCAACATTCCATTTTAACACAGAGGAAGATGATGAACATGAGAGAGAGATAGGCCTAAGTTTTGTCTATGTGTCATTCAAACTGATTAAAACGAGTAAAGGGGACTAAAAAGACAGGTTGCCCATGAGTTGGTTCTCTTATAAAGTCATGAAAATAGTTTAGGGACTAAAATGACAAATCCTCGAAAGTTCGTAGGGTATTTATGTAATTTCCCCTTAAAAGAAAAAAATTACACCTATATACATTTTACATATCTATATATACTTATAAAAGACGCATTTTTTACTTTCACCATGCATTTGAAACCTCCATGACTCTTCAATTTCTTTCTAATAATTATTATAAATTGGTTAATAATATTATATTAATGCAAAAAACTAAATTCTAACAATAAATTAACTAAACTACAATATTAAAATATCATATTTACTTCTATTTATAAAATTATTACTTTAACTTTTTAACATACCTTATTAGTTTAGATGTGTTGTCGTATGTGAGCAATTGTCATTTTAAAGTCACGACTTTTCTATAATTTACGATTTTATACAAAATAGTTAAATTATTAATTTCAATACTATTTAAAGTCACAACTTTTGTATAATTTATGATTTTATGCAAAATAGTTAAATTATTAATTTCATTATAATGTTAAACGATTAACTTAAATCAAAATTTCAGTTAAACTTGAAAAACTTGAGAGACTATTTTATAAATAGTTAAAAGTTACACATTATAGTGTTACACCTAAATTGTAATCCTAACAAAAAAAAAATGAAACTATTTTTTATAATCATTAAGAATTTTCAAATAAGTATTTTAAAAATAACTTATAATAAGAATAGTTAAAAGTAATAGTATATAAAAAATTATTATGTTGTCTTTAAAAACAAAAACAATGTTTGTTGTTTTAAATAATTACAATCAAAGAAACTAACAATACTCATCAAATAATTTTTAAAAAAGCTAAATTTCTGAAACCAAATTAGAATAATTAAGAGTTTCCAAATACTTTATTTTAAATAACTTACAACAACAATAGTTAAAAGTAACATTATATACAAAAATTATATTGTTACTTTTAAAAACAAAAACAATGTTTGATGTTTTAAATAATTACAATGATAGAAATTAAAATCTTAAGCAAATAAACCTTTTAAAATTAATTAATCATAACAAAAACTATAAATATCATTAAACCATATATTATATTTAATTTTATTCATGAGTAAACCACATGTAGAGGTTATTAAAACAATTGAAATTATAGGATTTTAAAAGATGTCTACATTATCATATAATTCAAAACAAACAATGTTTATACTAACTTATTATAAGATTTATTATACAAGAGTTAACAAATACATCACTGATATATTTAAAAAGGGATTTTCTAATATGTGCCCTAAGGGCACATATAAGAAGTACTAATTATGAAAAATATTACCATAATTAAATTCAAAATATATTTATTATGGAGATTATTAATGCATTTCATATTTAATTATGGTAATATTCGTTATAATTAATGTATTTTACATTTAATTATGGTAATATTTGTCATTAATTAATACTTCTTATACGTGCCCTTAGGGCACATATTACAAAATCTCATTTAAAAAAACATATATTTGTAAAGATTTCAAACATATTGTTATATTCTGCGCAACGGGTATTTGTCTAGTATTATTATAATGCATGCAAAAAGAAGGATTTAGGTGACTGTCATCATCCTCACACACTTCAAAAGCAACCTTCTTTTTGACATATACAATTATCACTCACTACCCTCACCAAAGCCGCTCTATAATTCTATCTTCAACTTGCAAACACCATCACATAAACTCCTTTCGATCATCCAATACTGTTTGCTCCTTTTTGGAAACATAAAAGTTTCCCCATACAAATTTTAAAGAAACCAAGAGCAAATTTCAACATTTGCTTTCTTGATCCACTCTCTTTTGGTTTCAATGCTCACCTCTCCAAACAAACTCTTTCTAATTTGAAAGAAACCAATAATATATTTCAAGATTTGCTTTCTTGATCCACCCCCTTTTTGGGTTCAATATCAATATCTCGAAACAAACACAGGATACCACAGAAAAGCTAAGATTTTTCCAATCAGATCTAAAAAGGTGAAACATTTTTGCTGTCGTGCACCGAAGGATCGCCTATAACTCCTCGGGAAACCCTAAAAGATTGATGGGATCTAATCATCTTTCTCTCCTTTGGGTGTTCCTCATTCTCTTATCATTACCATCAAGATTAGTACTCACTGAAGGTCAAGGGATTAAATCCACAAGACTCCTTGATCTCGTGATTCGAGATTACACATTCAAGTCATACAGCAAGTACTTCAAAACAGGCACACCATACAATATCAACTTGCCATCAAATCTCACCGGCATTATGGTTTATACTTCAAGATACCGCTGTGGAAGCCTCAAGAGGTATGGTGCAAACATCAAAGAATTTCACTTGAAAGTTGGTGTGGATGTTCATCCTTGTATAGAAAGGATCCTTATAGTAACACAAAACCTAGGAAACAATTGGTCAAACATTTACTATGACAACTATGATCAGTTACTAGGTTATCAACTAGTGTCACCTGTATTAGGTTTACTAGCTTACAACTCCGGTGACGATTCAGACTTGAACACCCAATTTGAGGTTAAAATTCAGTCCCCAGATAAGTCCGGAATTCAAATTGATTTCACTAATTATACATCGTATGGGAACTCGACTTTAGATGGGAGGATAAAGATGTGTGCAACATTTGGAGGTGATGGGAAGGTGACACTAGAAAAAGAGGTTGCACCCAACATTTGTGGTGCCACAACCCATGGGCATTTCGGGTTGGTGGTGCAGTCACCATTGTTGCCGGTGAGGAAGAAAATGCGGCGGTGGACGGTTGCGTTTGGATGCTCAGTTGGGGCTGCAATCGCGGTTTTTCTGGTGGGGTTGCTTTTGATTGCCATGTTTATGAAGGTAAAGAAGAAGGCAAGATTGGAGGAGATGGAAAGAAGAGCTTATGAAGAAGAAGCACTTCAAGTGTCAATGGTGGGACATGTGATTAGGGTTCATACTGCTTCTTCCACAAGAACTGCTCCAAGAATTGAGCAAACTCTTAGACCTCCCCGGTGAGTTTGATTCGTGAATTTGTTTATACAACATTTTGCATCTACAATTCAATAGAGAAAGATATCAACTAATTATCTTGATGGTTTCTGAACCCTTTTGAACAATATTCTACCATCAAATGTTCGTCCAGTTAAAAAAATTGGAGTGCTTCGTGCATCTCAGGCTCCTTAGCTAGATGAAGAAATAGTCAAAATGCCATGCTGACCTCGGTCCGTTATAAAATTCAGCCTATTGGATTGCTAGAAGGTTAAATTTGAATTATTCTTATGTTAATTGTCTAGTTTATTTGACAAAAAAAAAAACAGTTTTATCTGGTGTTATCGAGAAACAAATAACTTTAAAATTTTATTAACGTATCTATTGACTCATTTATAACCACCCGAAAGTAGTATTTAAAAAAATATGGTTAGAATGTTTTCTAAGATTGTACTATTAAGAAATATTTCTGATATTTAATTATCAATGAAAGATGTTAGCTGATGTATCAAATCAAATAAGCTGTTTTTTTTATCGAGAAAATGGATCTTATTAGGAGAGCAGTTGCGGATGTGAAAATTTATAGGCAAAGGAATGGAAGTTAGGGGACACAATAATTCAAGTCTTTGACGACACTCTAAAGACAACCAAAAGCAAAATGTTTTCTTTCCCCTTTACTTTTTGATATACAATAAATGGAAGCATGAAGCTTTTGCAGTCTTCTTGCATCATTATAAATGATATGGGAATAATAATTTTCATAGTCCTCCTATCTTTTGTTTTTATATAATTCCTATTCATATAGAAAATTATATGTCCTCCCACCTCTGTTAACCTTTTCTTTCATTTTTTCGGTTTTTATTTTTATTTTGACACTTGCTTTTTTTATACAACGAATTAGTATATGTGAAATTGAACATAAGAGCTTCTTGTTAGACCTCCTTGCTTTCCAATTTTTTATTATTATTTTGATATTTGTTTTTTTTATACTTTTTGATTAATTAAGTAAGTACAAGCATATTTGATTTCTTCATATGAAAAATACAGACAAAATTGCAAAAATGGTCCCTGTGGTTGGTAAATTCTGTGGTTTTTGTCCAAAAAGTTTTGGTGGTGCAATGGTGGTCCAATTTTAGATACCTTGTGTGGTTTTGGTCTTTATGTTTATCATTTTATCGTATTTTTGGTCCATACCCTATCTAAAATGACAATTATACCCTTAACTGATTCTTTTTTAATTTCTTATTATTTTAATTAAAAAAAACCAAAAAAAAAACCCACCCCATTCTTAAGTCAACAACCCACCACCACCTCCCTCTCTCTCTCTATCTATATCTCTCTCTCTCGTAAAGACCCACCATCGAACTTCAATCCACCGTCTCCACCATCGTCAACCACTACCACTTCAAAATCTTCAATCAATTGTCGCCACCATATCTTCCTCCATCTCCACCACAGAAGCTACCGGAGACTCCTCGCCTAAGCCAACTTTCATATTCCGATCACCACCACCACCATTGATCAACACCATTACCACCCGTTAACACCACCAATATCTGTTTAATTTCGTGTCCTCGGTGTAGACATCAAAGCACAATAACTAGAAAACTACAGATCGGAGATGTGAAAAAAAAAATAGATTGAATATGGAATACATCAAAGCACTTCAAGAACTTATAGGATTTCAACAATTTAAGAACGTTCTCTATTGATGCTCGATTTCTTCATTGTAGTTTGAGAACGAGAGGACGCAGTAGGGATAATGTGTGCATGTGTGTGTTTCAACCTCTTCTCATCAGCAACCATCTTCGATCAACCTCTACCCACAAACACCATCTCATACCACTTTTCACGTTTCATCTCCGACAACCACAAAATTTTATCCTCAAATCAAATTGAAATTCTAACACCAAACCATACCTAATCAAAATCAAGAACAAACCTGCAACCTGCAACCAATATCAAAGCCTGCAAATCTTTTCAAATGTTTTTAGTTCCAAAAATTACCCCCCTCAGATCCAAAAATTGAAAATGGTTCTAGAAATCAATTCCCCCATCAAGAAGGCGTCGACAAGTTAAAGGAGGGAGGGGGAGGCGGTGGGGGAGATTGTTGATGGTAGAAGACGAGTGTAGATGCACCGTTGACTGTGGAGGTTCTTCGATCAAGGTTATAGACGACAACCAATTTTTTTTGTAAGTTGGGAATGGGCTAGAGTTTGAACGGGAAGGGAAAATGAGAATGGTGGGTTTTTTTTATTTTGAATAAAAACTGATAATAAAAAAATGTAAAAACAAATTATAAGGACATAATGGTCTTTTTAAGTAGATAGGGACCAAAAACAATAGAAAAATCCAATTTTGGACCAGTGGTGCACCAACATTTCGTTTTGGACCAAAAGCACATAAATTTGCCAACCACAAGGACCATTTCTGCAATTTTTTCAAAAATACATTATCCTTTTATTTTTTTTCTTTTTTATCTTTTTATTTATTAGATCAAGACAAAACATTAAAATCAAGAAAAAATTATTAATGAATAAACTGCATAAATGGTCCCTGTGGTTTGTTTAAAATTAACACTTTGGTCCAAAAAGATTTAGACTAGCACAGAGGTCCAAACTTTTCATTTTGTTGCATGTTTGGTCCAATTTGATATGAACTTTTTCATAATGACCAATTTGCTCTTACTTTTTTCTTTTTCAGTTTTTTTATTATTTAAAGATTTTTCTGATTAAAAGAAAATATTTCTTTTTTATTTTATTTTTATAATTTTTTATAACAGAAAAAAAGAAAATAAAATGCTCTCTCTCTCTCACTCTCTCTCTCCCCCCTCCCCCAAAAATTAACCCATCCAGCTTATCTTCTTCTTCTCACTCTTGTTCTCGATACCATTCCATACTACCAAACGCCCACCATTGCCACCTGCTTGATGTAAAACTCCACCCACTAACATTCATTCTCGTTTTCACCAACTTGCCGCCTCCTCTTCCATTGTTGTGAACCACCATTAACGGAACCCTAGCCGTCGTTCATCCGTTCCGGTCACTATCTCTTACTTCCACCGCCGAAACCAAATCTACACCACCATCGAAGAAGGATAGGTATGAAGGTTGAGGTCGCCTGAGCCACAACAAACCCTAGGGTCACCGCCATCTTCAGATCTGGAAAGACGAAGCTCCATCATGGCTTTGTTCGGGTTCTAACGCAACTGAGTTGTTGAGACGGTCAATGAGTTTCAAATTGGCGTATAAGAGGGTAATAGGTTATCGTCGGTGGTTAGTTTAAGATGGGAGACGACGGTCCTGATATGTTGGGCGGCGTCGGCTAAGTTCCACACATTTAGGGTTATTAAGAGATGACAGGAAGAGAAAGAGATGGACACGATGGGGGAGGTGGTTGAGTTTCTACCATATAGAGCTCCAAGTATTCAGATCTGGTGGTGGGCGTGGAGGCTGCAAATTTCTTTCATGGTGTGTAGGTTTCTTTCAAGTTTAAAGTAACAAGATAATATGGGAAAGAGAGACAGACACGAGAGAGAGATAGAGAGAGAGAGAGAGGGAGGGTGAGAGATGGAGGGAGAGGGAGAGAGAGAGAGAGAGAGAGAGAGAGAGTTTGCATTTTTTTTAATTTTTTTCTGTTATAAAAAATTATAAAAATAAAATAAAAAAGGAAAATTTTCTTTTTTTTTCTTTTAATTGGAAAAATCTTTAAATAATAAAAAAACTGAAAAAAAATAAGGGCAAATTCGTCATTATGAAAAAGTTCATAGCAAATTGGATCAAACTCGCAACAAAATGAAAAGTTTGGACCTCTGATGCTAGTTCAAACCTTTTTGGATCAAAGTAGCAATTTTGAGCAACACAAAGACCATTTGTGCAGTTTAGTCATTATTAATAGATCGTATAAAATTAAATAGGAATAAAACCTAGAAGAATATTCAATTTTTCTTTATTGTTACAACAATGTAAACTAGACTAGTGACATTTACTAAAATGAATAAGTGTTTCAATATGTCATATTAGTTTTTGTTTTAATTATTTTTATATTAATATAATAATATTTTTTTTAAATAGTCTCTACTAATAAATCATATATTAGATTTTAAAGAACTTAAAAGAAGAACAAAAGAATATGAAATAACTCTCCAAATTTTATTGAGAAAAATAACTTTAAAACTCAATTACAATTTATGATGCAGATACCATTACTCGGTTATGCATATGAATATTTATAGCTTTCAACTAAAGCTATTAGACTAGGATGCTAACTCCTAACCTATGCGAGGAAAGCCAACTTGCATCCTTGTTGTCTAAAGGAATCCTTGTTGTCTAAGGAAACCAACTTGTATCCCTGGAGATTAATAAATTCCAACATTCACCCCCTAAATAGCTCATGTTATGCTTCGAGCCGAGTATAAATCATTTATCGATCCTTAAGCTTATGGAATGCAATTCTTTGGATTCCGAGACTATGGGTAACAAATAAGGGTGTTCATTGGTTCAAATCCAATGGATTTCGATGGAACCGGTCTAATCCAATCATCCTATGGATGTTGCATTTTGTCAAACGATCCAATCTCATTCGATATAAAAAAAAAACTGAAACGAACAGTTCCAATTGGATGTTGGATAGGATCAACTTTATCCATTGGATATTTTTTTATTGGTTTAATCCATTGGTTACCTATTATCCAACCAATTTTAATATCAATCTATCGAATAATCAAATATAACCATGATAACTAAAAATAAAAGCGCACACAATTAAGTTAAGTAAGACTAATAAAGTAACATTAACTTAAAGTTTCCAACTTAATTTTTTTTATTGAATATTCGATAATAGTAACTGGATTTGGATAATAATATTGAATAATATTGAATTAAATTGGATATCCAATTGGATCAGATCGATTCGTTTATCCATTGGATTTCCACAATGATCCAATAACCGATCCAATGCAATTGAATTTTGAAATTTCACATCCGATCCAATTAAGTTGTAATCAGATATCCAATCCAATTGGTCAGTTTCTAATTGGAATGGTCGGTTCCAATTGGATCCGTTAATTCTTACAGACCCCTAGTAACAACCGTACAACTCAAACATGGTCTATTACTGTTAGTAATGCAAAAAATTACAGCCACCAATTTAGTATTGC